CTGAGGGTGGTGGCGTTCCTGCAGATGTGGAAAAACTCAGTCTGACTGAGTATCACGCGAGCTGTGAATTTTTTATCTTTGCAAAACGCAAACATGTCATGAATGGTCCTATGTTTTTCCAAAGAGCGGAGTATTACGCTCCACCGAGAAACAGAATTATGTCAGCCGATTTACACTGTACGGTCGTACTGTGTTGTTCCCGGCGGTGTGCCGGTGTTTTTGTCGTGCATTAGAAGTAACTCACGTACTCGCCGCTCATCCTCAGTTCCCAGGCGAGGATCCGATCCCGAAGCTGACAACGTATCTGCAAGTTCTGTACCTAGTGATAGTCCATCAACGGCACAGCTATCATCTCCACAGCCAGGAGCACCTGCAACAACTAACAATGCACTGTCACCCAGGCAAGCTGTTCTGCTCGCCACACCGTCTTCAATCGCCAGGCCAAGCTCTGTTCAGGTACATGTATGGCAATACACTCAAACTTCCCTTGTCAAAAAAACCTCTGCCCTCGAATCTGGATTGTTTCACCAACCGGAAAGCTTCTGGGTCATGTACAGTAGATCTACTACATGTATTCTGTATTTGACTGTACTGGGTCATGTACTGTGCTGTAATCAACTGTACTGTGTGTTGTTTCTGAGTTGGGAAATGGTCCGAGGCGATCTGGGCCAGAATAAGCAAAAGGAGCATCAGTGCGTAAGCTTCGGAAATTGTGTTTTCTTCTTTAACCCTCTCAGTGCCACGGGCGACTTTAGTCGCCCAAAATGAGTATGTGTGTACAAATAAATTCGTATCTCCACTTCTACACACAGGAGAGTTACAAACGACCACTCTACGTGTTCAGGAAGACCTTGGCTATCGACTCATCACATCGTTTTGTGTCCGTGAGGATAGATATCGCCAGGGCGAAGCTTGAAGCGCGCGCGCTCGGACAAACAATTGTCGCCCGTAGAAAACATGACGTATGCGCATCGCGGGTTTCTCTATTTCTTTCGCCGCAACCCATGCGTATTGGGTATCAAAATATCGAGATTTTCAGCGGCTTCCAGGCCAACTTTGTCCGAATTCCGTGCGTTGAAAGTTGACTGCCCTGCGATCGATCGCGCGCGTGAGAAAGTGCAGATGCTACGAAAATGCAGAAAACGGACTTCGCTCAGGCGCCCTCGCGAGGAAGACTATTTTCGCTGCATATTCTCTTCACAGCTGTCTGCCTGGCCATGATATCTTTCCAGAGAGCCATCGTTCGTAAAGATCCGTGGATATACAGCTGAGCTATGAAAAATTTGAGTTCAGCTCAACTCAGAAAAATTTGAATTTTTCTGACCCCCTTGGCACTGAAAGGGTTAAAAGTACTCAATGGTCCTCCAGGAATGATACCATGGCTGAACGTATGGGTTCTGAATGTGTGTGTGTGTGTGTGTGTGTGTGTGTGTGTGTGTGTGTGTGTGTGTGTGTGTGTGTGTGTGTGTGTGTGTGTGTGTGTGTGTGCACGTGTGTTTGCACCTGTCCGCTTTCCAGAGTGAGTCCTCTACACCACTACCTCGCCGTGGTCCACTTCGTGCTCTGCATCAGAACAGTAGGGATGATGCCGTTTGACAACACTCACAGCCGCAACTGCCTGCGTTACTGTTAGGAGATAGAGCAGTCACTGGCTCGTTATATTATTGAAGAAAATCAGAATGCCTTTGTCCAAGGTGCTCATGATTCCGGAAGCTGGATGGGAGCCAGCATGTACTGGAAGTCACAGCTGTACACTGTACACTGTACAGCTGTGACTTCCTACCCCGGCCGATTGTATCAGCACAGCAAGTTATGTCGGCCTGCCATACCTCACTTGTCATGCCAGTGACTCTGATGTAAGCAAGCAATGATGGTGGTTGAACCAGCCTTGCTTCGATGCCACCGTGTGCAACACGGGTACATTGCTGACTCCCATCTCTTGCTGATACGCTTGAGATCACACCTCAGTGTAGTTCAATCCTCTTCTCCTTTCGTGTACAATTCTGATAACACTGGCAATACTAGTGTCTAGTGTGAGAATCAGTGAGTGAGAACCAGTGAGTTTAAAAGAGTTAGTGTGTGAGAATCAGTGAGTGAGAATCAGTGAGTTAAGAGTTAGTGTGTGAGAATCAGTGTGTGACAACCAGTGAGTGAGGATCCATAGGAGTGAGAATTAGTGAATTGGAGTCAGTGTGTGCAGAGAAGATGAGCACCGCCTTCACTATTGTCGAGCTCATTGAAACATGATGATGAGGTCTATAACATATCCTGCCCCTATGTCAGAATTGACTATGGGCTATCTTTACTTTTTTTCTTTTTTACTGGAGTACACCAGCAAAGTCCAAAGTCACCGCTGCACCCAGCACATGCAAATAATAAATACTAGTACTACTGCTACTACATGCATGCATGTACAGCATTCACTGACAGTTTGATTATGACAGCAGTGCTTTCAACTCCGAAATTCCAGAGGTTTTTTTTCTCAGTACATGTACAATGTTATGTACTACACTGTCTCGGAATTATACTATGTATATACAGTACATGCACGGCACGTATTCCATGTAGCCGGACCAGTGAATACACACAATGTTACCCAGTCTTGTATCATTTCCGCTCAGGGATTGTCCCTAAATATTGACATTTTTTCTATATGGAAATTGCTAACAAAAATACATGTGTGAAAGGAATTTCGAAATTTCATTTTAGAAAACATCTCTTATTACGGCCGGCGTCCCATCATGTACAGGTGCTTAAAACTGCACATCACTTTGTGTATATCCGATATGTCATGTAGATACTTGCAAAGCGTGTCATGGCATAATCTGTGTTACGTCACAGCTTTACATTGTTGCATTATTTGCACTGGTTCTGATTGTGTGTTTAGTTTACACTGGTTTTCCTGTACGTACAAGTCATGCTAGCAGAGGGTTCCTAGATCCTGTTGTTCACCTTCTCTACAAGGAACAGTTAGTTGTGCATATGTTCTCTTGCTGCTCTCTACTGACACACCTGGTGTGCCCTTGCGGACAGAATGTCGGGTTACGGGGAATCACATAACAGTATATGCATACATAGGAAGAATAGATCACGGAACATCTTACCCGCCGTGTCCACGGATGTTGCTGGCCACTTCTTGAAAGCAGTGCACACACATTTCCCCAAGAACTCCCCACTGCACAAGGTGTCCAACCAGAATAACTGCAAAGTAAGCTACTCAGCAATGCTGCATACGCAATTAGTCATTTGCCAGTGCGTGGAGTAGGAAAGTCTGGGTCACCTATTGTAAGCCCAGTTGCCAATTCCCACTGAAATAACTGGCCACTGAGGCTGGATTTACAGGAGAATTTTCAAAGCCGGTTGAAAGCCTGTACATTGTGTGGTGGAAGAAACAGGTGGACATTTAGGCTGTGTTTACATGAGTTTTCAACCCGCCATGAACACAAATTGATGCAGCAAATGTTGCCGGAATTTTCGGTCCTGGACCACTTTGGTCGTGGGTCTGATCTACTCGCCTCCTACCCATAAGAGTTTGATCATTGACGGTTGTGGCATTGCTGCTGATGCAGAAAAACTCAGTCCGCGCAAGCAAGCCATGAAATTTGTTTTGTGATTGACCCGGGTTGAAAATGAGGGAACGTGCTATTGTACTACAGTAGAGTCGCGCGGCCAAGAACGTTGTTTCGAAGGGCAACCAGGACGTTCTTATTTTTTCAGCAATCTGGCTGCGTTCTTAAAAACAGTGGATCATATGTATCCCACAAGCTGCCAGAAAACCAACACCGCCGTTCTTAGCTTTAGGCTGTGGCGTTCTTAGTATTTCAGGCTGGATGTTCTTGGGCTCCACGTTCTTCAGCGAGCGACTCTACTGTAGACGGTCCATTTCTAGAGTCCCGTATTGTCGCGTGACTGCTTTGGCGGGGGAATTCACGTGTTCATGGTGTGCAATCCTGGCGGCGCATATCACATACATGTACAATGTACAAGTACTTTTAAAGTAAAGATGAACTCGGATGGCGAGCCAATATCATTACTGTATGATGAAGAAAGGAAAAGGACAAAATGTTATGAGTTATGACAAACTGTCCACCAACGTAACCAGATCTTATACCGTCAGCGAGTGCGACAAAATGGCACAAAACTGACAAGGAGTACCGAGACATTCGGCGACCTGACACCTAGCTCCAGCACTTCTCCAAGGCGCAAACCAACAACCTTCCAACTTGGAAGGCTCAGGTTAAAGTAGGCTGCGCTTACATGAGAATTTTCAACCCGGGTCAAGTTCAGTCCGGGTTGAAAGTCTGTACTATGGAAAAAGTAGGTGGGTCACTGACCGGGTGTTTACATGAAGACAGTTGACCCGGGTCAATTATTTATATGCCGCCAAAAGTCCACTTCTAGAGTCATGTATCGTCATGTGAATACTTTTGCGCGAAATTTGCCTGTGCAGTGCTGTTCAAACCTGGCGCGAGATACGCACAGAGGTACGATAGTACGATTTCAACCCTCCCCCCCCCCCCCCCCAAGGGGCGGGTTGAAATCAACCGGGGGCGAAATTTCAACCCGGGTCAAGCGCAATGCGTCATGTAAACGCGCCAGTCAACCTTTGTTCATTGCGTGTTGAAACTTGACCCGGGTTGAAACGTCTCGTGTAAACACAGCCGTAAGTATGGTGCTGTGGAACGTTTTCTCGAATTCAACCCGGGTCAAGCTCAACTCTCTCTTTGTATTGGCCGGTGTTCTCACTGTGCTATGAGATGCTGTAATAAATAAATAAATAATAAATAACTCATTTATGACTATAAACTCTCTCTATGATTTTCGCAGGACACCACCATGCCTGATACATGTATATCAAGTGTTGGCCGATCTATGTAATATATATAATAATATTCGCGGGATCCGCATTAGCATCACCTGAATGTTCAGAAACACACAAGCTATAGCCTTCGCTTCCGCAGGCCACCACTATGCCTTTACACCTTAGTGGCGAATGCAGACCTCACAACTTACACAAGTGAGTCAGGGGCCGATCTATGTTCATGCCTAAATCTTCTATGGCTCACCTGAAGGAGCATTAGTCGGGCACTGATTCCGATGAGCTTTGCCCCGAGCCAATCAGACAAGGAGAGCCATGTCAAATTCCATCAAGAAGACTTTCCATATTTGGGCATTGGGCTTGCTGACGTGCGCTATCACTATCCGCAGAGAAGTGCTATTCAGATTTAAGTATTGTCAGAGTAGTACTGTACTGTATATTTGCATGCATGCTCGGCCTGACCTGGCAGAGAAAATTGAAACTTGACTGTGAAACAAGAAAAGAATTGCTATGGAGTTGGGTACGACTCCCTAGCTGGTTTGAGGGAAAGATGCAAACAGGAAAAGTCTGAAGAAAAAATTGATTGTCACCACTTTTGACTACAAAAATATTATTATAGTTTTACTGTAGTTCGTACTTTTGACGTTTGTGATTTTGAAAATTCAAAAAAAACTTGTGCCCAATTAGCCAAAGCAAATTATAGAAAAGCCAATTGATCAAAACGACTATGGTCGAGTACGTATATAGTTAGAGTGAAATAATAATTATAGGTAGCGCTGCTAATGTTTGAAGTGGTTCTTTGGAGACGAACAGCTACCAGCTGTATACTTACCGGTTTACCTAGAAGTTACCAGTAGAATCTATTAGCAAGTGCATGCAGAATGTAATCAACGTATAACGTTGTAAAATAATTATTAATTGTCGCTGTGTAATATTGTGCAGGTGAGTATCACGTTCCTTGGTATTTAGAGAGATATTTTAGTTTTGCGTTGGGTCGGGTCGACGTCCAGTGTGCCTTGATACCTCTCCACTCTTACATTGATGATGGATGGTATTGCAAGTTCTTACAATGACATGAGTGATTCAGAGTCAGATGATGACAAGAAACAAACAGTTCCTAATGTAGCACATGCAGCATGCATTGCTCATCAGGCACATTATCTAGCAGCAGCATCAGCAGAATCAGCAGCAGGAAGCAGGCAGTGTGCCAGGGCAGGGGATACGGCAGAACAAGAAGCTATCAATGTGCAAAGTGGACAGGCTGCAACAGTCAGTAAACTACCGCCATCATCCAGGAAGATTGTACCGTGCAAGGCTCTATTGGACGATGATACTCAGCATGATGACTGCTCACAGCAATATGTTAGAAGTGAGGCAAGTGTGACGGCATTGCTACTAGCTCAACGGCAAGTTCCGCCACCTAGTACTGCAGCATCTTCAACAGCTGATGATGAGTCAAGAGCTGCGGTCTCTGTGCAGGTGATTGAGGGCAATGATATCAGCATTAATCGTATCTTATCACGTCCACCGGTTCACATAGCCAGTCTTCTCTCCACTTCACCTGGTCATAGGCCTGGTTGCAGGCCGCCCAGAAGAAAAATTCACTCGTTCAGTGGTCACACAGCGTCAGTTATGAAGCTTGCTTGGCATTGCCCCGGTGGTCAGATTCTGGCATCATGTGGTATGGATGGCTTACTTTGCTTCTGGGAGCCATGGGTCAAGCGCCAGTGTGTCAAGAAGATGTCTCCTCACAAGTCACTGGCTATTCGCTGTGGAATGTGGTACAGCACTGGTAGCGCTGGCATCACAACTAGAAACTCTGGTACTGGTGTCGCCGATGCAGCTAGCAACCCTGTCCACTTCCTCTCTGGTGGCTATGACAAGTGCCTGCGCTTGCTTGATGTTGAATACGATAAATGCGTAGTGAGTTTACTGCACCCTCATCATGTAACGGCCGTTGCAAGACATCCGACTCACCGTTCAGTTGTTGTCACAGGCACGTCGCAATGTTCTCTTGCGGCCTGGGATGTGCAAAGTGGCAAGGTACATTTGAAGTATGTTGCAACATTGTACTTGGAAGTATGCATGGGATATATGTACTTGAGAGGGTGGAATGTACAGTGCTGCTGCTCAATGAAATCCAGTCGCGTCACTCAAGTTTGCGCCTTGCATCATTTCGCAGCCCAGCATTCGCAGGTCTATGGCTGCACAATGCCCAGTGCGTACTTGAGTGACGTGACTGCTGGATTTCATTGAGCAGTACTGTACTTGAGATGGTGCCGTGGTAGTAGAGGGGGGGTTAAAGGATACTAATAAAGGGTTGAGGATGTGGGAGGGCTTTAGTGACCTTAGCCTGCAATCATTCTCCATGGTTGTCCTTGTCTTTCATCGTCCACTGTCCTGCTGTGTTCTCATTTCTTCCTCATTGTAGATTCTTCTGCATTGAAATTGTCCACAACCATGATGCCAGTGGGCATTGGGTGGCGTCGAGCTGCTTTGCAACTTTATCATATTTTTATGTTGTGTATGTGTGTGTGTGTGTGTGTGTGTGTGTGTGTGTGTGTGTGTGTGTGTGTGTGTGTGTGTGTGTGTGTGTGTATATGTGTGCATGCATGCGCGTGCCTGCGTGGGTAACATGCAGAAACTTCACGATTGCACACAGGCGGCAGGGCAGGTGCAGGATATTTTGTTTTTACCGGACAATGAGCGTTTTGTCGTGGCTTGCGACACGCACAGGCGCAGTGATGCTGATAAGTCACTGGGTGTTTGGGACTTTGCCTCTGGCGTGCGCTTATTGGAGCAGCTATACCCTGTGAGTGGTGATGCTGGTCATGGTGATGATGTGCATGCCACTGGTGTTCTGCTTACACTGCACTCGCTGCACTTAGAGTGTAGAGCCTGGTGATGTAATTGTTCTCACAGGGGTCATTCGTGTTTGATCGACATGTTTTTGGCAGAGGGGCAAAGAGACTTTGTGTGAGTGTCACATACCATCTTTTTTTATTTATTCTGAAATTCTTATCTCCTCTACTAATTAGCAGCAAAGAAACGCAGCCTACATTAGCTCTGTTTCTGGTACTGAACATGTTTTACATGTACTTGTGATATAAACCTTAATTTACCTTATGATGTGTTCCTTTGGATTGTTGTGTTAATATAGACGTGTACAGACTGGCGTATACTGTAAAACAGGTTATTTTCGGTGTGACTTTAATTTTGGTGCTTTTGGTCGAAATACCAGGCACCTAAATTCAGATTACACCTCAATGGCACAATAGTATGTGCTGCATGTGAAGGGAGTGCTGGCTACCTAATTCTAAGTTACACCTGAAACCCATCAGGTGCCTGACACCGAAATTTTAATACACCGACATTTGCATGTTTTACAGTAGCTCTCTGCTGCCTGTGTTCTATTAGGAACCATATTCATGTACTCGTCTGTGTATGGACAAGGCTCAGAAGAACTTCTTGGCCCAATCCAATGCTGGGCATACAGCTATTTTTCAAGCCAGTCCACCCTACAGACTCAATAAGTTCAAGAGATTCGACAAGCATCAGGTAAGTTCCAGATCTGTGTGCTTGTGAGTTGTTGTTCCTTGTGTCCGGTCTTGAAAGTCCAGTATCTTAGTTTAAACTTTCCCTCTGCCTTGTTCTGCACCAGAATCACAGGCAATAATGGTAGCACTGAATAGCAGACCAGACAAATCTGTAGAAAACTGTACATGTATCTGTAATGTGTGTCACATAGCATGTGTATTTTGGTCTGTAGATTTGGATCTCATAAATTTTGAAATTAAATTTTGTCAATGTGCATCTCCTCCATCCGAAATCATAATCATAATAATAATTATTATTATGCACTTACGCGTCAATGTCAGCGGTGGTAAACCACCCACATATTCGCACATGCTGAATAGACTTATGAAATGAGCACCGAGCATTAAATGCGGCATGGAAATAAAAGCATTGAAAAAAAGAAGAAGAAAAAACGCTAGAGCTGTTAGCCAGTTACAGGTCTGCTCTCGATATAACAACTCTCACTTGTACATAAACCTCGCTAGTACGTAAAAAAATCGAATCCCGCGCCGAAACAGCATCACTCTCATACAAATTTTGTTCTACGCAACGTAATCCTACATAACATAAACCTCGATGTAGCACACGCCACGGCGCGGTCCCCGGCGTACGCACTCTCGATACAACGTAAATTCACTTGCATTGTACGATCAAGTGGTAGCTGTAGCTAGGTAGTTTAGGCCAGTTTAGTCCGTCCTACATAGCGTAAACCTCGGCATAACACACCCTACGGCGCGATCCCCGACGTGCGCACTCTCGATATAATGTAGATTCACGCGCGCGGTACAATCAAGCTGTAGCCATAGCTAGCCAGTTTAGTCCTATTGTGCATATACTCTGCGGTATTGATGGTATCCGATGTCGATGGTGGTACAGTGTGTATATGTTTGCACGGTTGAACCCGCCTTGTAACACCCTTCATTTTGTGGTACATCTTGTATTTTACACACGGTTTTCTGCATAACAGTCATAACTCTCGATATAATATAATTTTTGCGTGGTCCCAGAGATTACGTTATATGGAGAGTAGACCTGTAGTTGTAGAACGTCAGTACCGTCGGTCAGTGTCGTGCAATGTTATCGCATGAGCTGATTGTTTAGTAACTGGTGGTGTTTGTGGACAGTATAGCGTAACTTTTAGTTCCTTGGTCCTGTCTCTTTTGTATAAAAAATAAATAAATAAATAAAGGAACGGCAACAGAAATAGAAATACAATAGAGAGGTTTCGCATAACGTAATTACGTTAGTAAAAAACGTAGTCGATCTACGGAAAGTCTTACGTAAACTGCATGCGCATCTGTGTTCCGCCATACGGAGTTTTCAAATCACGTAGCTGCCCTTGGCAACTCCGAACGCGGCAGTGTACGACCAGATCGACCTGGGGAGAGAGTCATAAATTTGTACACCAATCCACTTACGGACCAGCTACGTTATCAGAGCCCTATCTACGTACTCTACATAGACAACTTACCGTAAGCGGAGTGCAAACTCGCGAATTCACGGGTTTTTCCCGCCCACTAACGTAAAGTTGCTCAACTTTACGTAGTGCAGAACCTCTCTAATAACAAGACGTACCCGCTAAGGAACACATGACAGCATGGGGCAGATTGAACAGAGGACACAGACACAGGATAATGGGCATTGTCGACTCCGGTTTGAGAATAATCCAGTAATATGCTGGCAGGTGGATGCAAATCCACGCACTACGTTATTATTAAAGAGAGGAATTTTATCGGTATTGAAGATGTTTTAAAATTATTATTACCACAGCAGTTATGAGAATCAACAATGTGATATTTTGGAGCAATATTATGTGGTTTTAGTCGTAAACGCCACCATTGGACTTGCAGACAGCCTTGCAAAGGTCCTTCCACTCCCCTCTGCCCTGTGCAATCTCCCAGAGGGAGAGGAGATCAGACAACGTCTTGAGTCCCCTCCGTCCCACTCTCTGCAGGTCACGGGATAGCACGATAGGCAGAGTCGTTCTTGGCCGTCCTCTCCACACTTTTTCCTTCACCTGGTAGTAGTTGATCATAGCCGCCACAGCAGGACATCCGTCACGCATGCGCAGTATATGGCCAAAGAGTCTCCATATGGCTAGGCGAACAAAGTTAGTTATCGGTTGTGCTTTGCACCTCTTGTAGAGAGCAGCCTTGCTTATTGTTTGTGGCCACCTGATACCGATGAGATTACGCAACTGCCTGCAGTGAAACGAGTCCAATTGGGCCTCGGCCACTGAAGTGGGTGCCCAGGTGCCGCTATTGTACAGTAAGACTGGAATCACGAATGTGTTGTACAGCCTCAGTCTCAATTCTTCTCGTACTAATGTTCTCCGTTTCCAAAGACTATACATTGCTCTGTAGGATGCTGTAGCGAGCTGTTTTCGCCTGGTGATGTCTTCGTCGTCACCAATCAGGGAACCTAACTTTTTCGTCACTCTCCATTCTTCCGAGACTCGATCCTGCTGCCGGGTTAGTTTTGTGTTTCGGTCTTCTCTGCGTTGACATGGAGATTCCATTGCTTGAGAACTGTTGCGGTAAGAGGTTCAAGCTGTGCTAGCCAGGCAGATGAGGTACTGACTAAATCGGTGTCGTTCGCGTAGATGATGTCGACGGAAATCATAGTACATGTATTTAATATTCCGATGAGTTGAGGGAATGGAAAAGGGAAAACGGTCTGATGAAAACATTGCCTCAGATACTGAGCCAATAAGAAATGTAAAAAATAGAAGAAAAACACATGGAAACGAGTTATGAAGCAACTATCCACGACTATAACAAGATAGTAGTAGTCAGAAAGTGCGATAACAGGGCACAAAACTGACAGGCTACTGAAACATTCAATGACCTGCGACTTAGCTCTTAACACATCACCAGTGCGCAAAACCAACAGCCTTCCAACTTGGAAGGTTGACGGTTAGGTAGGACCGAAGAGGGGAAGGTAAGTGCAGCGGAAACGTGCACAAGCTAAAGTCCCACGGCAACAAAGAATGCCGAATGTTGCAGGACGATGACGAGACCAGTTAATAACACGACAATGCGGTCTAACTACAAATTACAATTCGAAGCAGCAAAGCAACATACCACCCAACTTGGGTGGGTCAGCAATATCAGAGATGAAGGAAGGGGAAGCTTTGCAAAAACGAATTGTACAAAACCGGACGCCAATATCTAATGGTATTCCTCATGCATGACACTACTGTGGACGAGATGTGTTGCAGCTAAGGGTGCGTTCTTAAATCCTCTCGGAAAAGTTGGAGACTCTCCGAAAAGTTCGAGAGCTGTTCTTATACCCTCTCCGACTTTTAGGAGGCTCTCCAAAGCTCTCCAAGCTTCAGAGTTGGTTGACACTTGGAGATTCCCGCGGTTTGGGATCAGCGCATGCGAACTACGACTAAAAGCCACGTGTTGATCATGGGTGTACGCATTTCCCTTTTCGCATACACACAAGTGCATACTACATTCACTCAGGACCCTTTGGCACTTCATTTTGCTTGACATGTGCAGAATATCTCCGAATTCTTCGAGACCCGTTCTTGAATAATCCCAGTTTCTTCCACTTCTCTTTTCTTCTTCTCCTGGAAGCTAGAGAATATATAAGAACGCACCCTAAGTCTCAGGTCATTGAATGTCTCAGTAGCCTGTCAGTTTTTTGCCTTATCGCACTTTCTGACTGCTTATTATCTTGTTACAGTCGTTGATACTTTTGAAGTAGTTGCTTCATAACTCGTTCCCATGTGTTTTTCTTCTATTTTTACAAAAAAATTGACTGTCACCACCGGGACTCAGGACCAGGACATTTATTTTAGATGATTCTGTCTGAAGGTGTGCTTACATTGCAATGGCTGATTAGAAGTAACTGATTTACTTGAGTCTGCCGTTGCCTTGTTGCTACTGCTGCTGCTGCTGTCTTTCCTTTCCTGCTTATGTGCTAGATATCTGGTTATCCTATGGGGGTAAGCGTGTCACGCGACGGCCAATTTCTCTACTCACCCTCATCCACAGGTCATCTGAACTGCTATAGCTATCAGACCAGTAAGATTGTCAAGTCGTGGCCGGTGGGAGAACAGACTATACTGATTGATGTGGCACATCACCCTTTGCTGCCATCTGCCCTTGCCACATCGACTTGGGATGGTGGCATTGACCTTTGGATGTGACTCAGTGCATACCTTCTTTATAATTACAGATGTCTGTTCTTGTTGATTTTGTCCTTCGCTGAGAATTTCCAGCTACTCTGACCTCATTAGTAAACTGTATTGTTTGTATGAGAGTCGGTCGGAGTGAGTTTTCTGCATGCGCAGGGGAAATCATTGGTTACTGTTAGACTTAGTTCACAACTGCAGAGATTAAGGGCATGTTTGATTGGTGAATCCGGATTCAGATCACTGATCAGAGTCACTGGAGCAGTCAGAACAACAGTTACGAAGTACCAATCAAACAGAACGGCGAATATTTTTGCCGGAAATATTATAGAACTCATGATAGCTCATCGTGCCGCGAACTTCAAAATTTCCACAGAGTTCAAAGATGTTTACGTTGCTCAAGATGCAAAGGCAAAACAAACTTGAAATGCAACTACAACCGGAGAAGAAGCTTCGAAGACAGCCAACAAATCAATCATGGACGTGGGGAGCGCCGTGTAATGTGCAAAATCACATGTAGACCTCCATGTACATCACCATGCCCTTTCGTAATCACTGACATGCCAAAATCCATTCGAATCAAAACAAAAAAACAAAACTCATTGCGTAGTCCTGTCAGGTTTTCATTGGGCTTTGCAACATGCTCTGGCTGCTCCAGCCCCGGGGGTCGGAGTGGTCAGAACATGTTCTGAACACTCCAAAACCAGAGCAGACCAGTGCAGACCAATCAAACGCCCCTGTTCTAAACGATCCTGTTCCGGATCCGACCAATCAAACGCGCCCTAAGTGTGTTGCTCCTGATGATGCTTGTATCAAAATGAATCCCTTGGTATGTGACTACATGATGCATTGTACATGTATGTATCCACATCAGGGAGCCGTATACAGTGTACACCGGGGGGAGTTAATACTTGGGAACCTCAGAATGTGCTAACCTTTCCAAACTAGTGACTAACAGTCCACCAAGGTAACGAGATAATATACAGTCAGATAGTGCGACAACACAATTTTCAATATTCTCTAAAATTAATATTAGCTCAACATCCGAGTTTTTTTCTCTTCAATCCTGATAATATTGGTTGATTTTTTCTTTTAATACTTGTACATGTATACTGCTATACTGTAAAACAGCTAATTTTAGCAACGGTGATATTTTAGCGACTTTAGCAAAAGGAGTGTTTTCACCGAAGTTTTGCCCCTCCAATCGAAAATTTGCATGTACAGTACAGTACAAGTCGTCCTTCTTTATAAAGTCTGAAGCTCGGATCGCTAAAATATTTGATCGTGAATTGGTCCAGATTCAGAAAACTCTAAAAAAAATACCCACTTAAATTTAGCCGTTCTACAGTAGTACTCGAGAACACGTCCATTCCACGAACAGGCTGTCAGCTGCACCAAATAAAGCAAGAAGTTCGCAATATTTCGCCCATTGGGCATCATTGATGCAGGAGATAGCCTCTGTTGAACTGTCAGTATACGGCGAGATATACCAAAATAAGAGACAGAAGCCTCCAGTGACCGTGAGTGGAGAACTGAAAAGATCTGAAATAGAGCTCGGTCCCATTGTGCCCTGGTATCCCTAGATTGGTTCCTGGCAAAAAAAAACGGGTTGAGGTGGGTCGAAATGAATGGACGATGTCCCTCAGTCTCGGCTCCTGTCGTAGGTAAAACTCTTGGAATAATTGATTTCGATCACATCCACCCAATTCTTCTGTTTGTTTAGTTTGATTACCGGTAGTCGGTACGCTTTCCTGCTAAGTTACCTACATCAAAATTGCCATGAGAAACGTTAATGGAACAAGCTTCGGGCGCCAGGACCTGTCAATTAACATCCTCAAATCTCTCCCACTCTCGCCAAAAACACCTCGGCAGAATGCATAACCTCATGCACATAAAGTGAATGACCAACTTGAAAGGTGCAAGTGTGAAGAAACCAAACAAGAGTGTGATGTAGTGCGACAACACTAGACAACCAAGGGACGAACCTAACGAGTGGTTGACAACCTACCAAGCAGCCCAAGTGTGAATTCAATTTGTTCTCTGTTTGCAGAGGCTAGGCTTCCTAGTGCTTCCTTGGCTACTCTTCTTTGTGCTGTTGCTATCACATCACTACTGTGTAGAATTCATTGTGCTTGGTCAGTTTCTTTTGCCTGCATTCCACCTGATGAGAAGCTGATGAAAGTTCCAGTGGAAGAATTTTTGAGGATGTTGATTGTGAGGAGCCGGAAGCTTGTTCTTTCCCAGATAGTTTTGTAGTTGCTTGCCAAATCATTTAAATTGGTTTACCTTCAGAAGTGATCAAGCGATGTGCACGGACACGGACCCGAGTCAAACGGGATCCACGGAAATCAGTGGCGCATCCTCTACCATCATCATGGTTATACGACTTCCTAGTTCACGTAAGGTAATGTGCTTCTGCTGATAAATTGTGGTTATGCTGGACTTTGGATGCACCTGCCAATAGTCAGTTGTATGCGCAAAAGGCCTTTGAGTTAAAAATAGTATTAGAGCGAGGTTGGTGTTGTCGTCTGGGAGACGACCAATCAACGGCTTTCCCGCCAGGGGCCAAATCAGAATTTAAAAGCCCGCTCAATCGTCAGGTGCGTACAACTTTGTGTACTCAGTTTCATACGGAACACGGTGCAGACCACTTCTCCCTTCAGGGAGTTGTAACATACTGTAAATATACAAATTTTCGGCAGCTATTTAATTTCGGCTATATTCGGCACCGACCCAAAACGCCTAAATTAAAACGCCGATGAAAGTTTCACAACATCTGTCGCACTATACCATGCCCTCTACCCCACGCCGAAAATAAATCGCCGCCGAAATGTCAAAAATCGTGAAATGCCGAAATTTTGCAGCGCCGAAATTTTGTATATTTACAGTAGGTATTTACATGATTGTACTCCCTGGTGCAGATCCTGAACCCCATATAAACTTTGATATAATAATCATCATCATTATTATGGTGTGCATCTAAAAACTGCGCCTTTCAGAAATGGGTAACGGTCGATCTGTATAACTTTCCTTTGTCCAAAGCTAGCTGAGCCTGCATAGATACCCAATCCGGCGCACTCACTGTAGGTATGGAAAGGGGCAATCCCCTAAAGATCTCCGTTTTGATGATCTCTTCTGGATACTTTGTGACGATTCGCGTTCTTGTCCTTAGATTTCGTATAAAGAATAGACGAATTGCAAGCCATTCTTCTTTTCCATCGTGTACGTGTCCTCGTTCCTCATTCTTCATTCCAGTTGGCTTAAAAGCGAAGACTAGCCAAGCTTGCTTGGTGATGTCAACGCGAAACAGCTGATACAAGTCTACCCTCGTTAGTAGACCACCCCGGGGGTTTCAATTTTTTGTCTTATAACGAGTATTACCGTATTTTCCCCAATAAATGTACAGTACTTTTATTTTTTCAAAGGTGGTCAGACGTACTACTATAGGAGACTGTACTAGTATTGGAGACGTGTGCTTTTATTGTTTCTGGAAAGATTGCTCGGACTGCCTGGGTTGGGTGGCAAACAACTCGTGATAATGATACTGTACGGCTGTAAATACATCCAATCATGGTAAGAAACAGTGTACAAAGACACAAAGATGATAAACGGGTAAGAAAAACGAACTTCGTACTTACATGTAGGTGAACCCTGGTACCTATACCCCAGTAATCACATCATACCGGCATGATTGTACTATTATTAGAGATGTGTCCTTTTATAATTTTGATCCACACTCAACATGTGCTACAATTGGAGACGTATTAGTATTGGAGACGTGTACGTTTAATGGGGAAAATACGGTATATACTAACGTTATCCGGACTTGCATGTGTATATTTCAGGCATGAGGGGATTTTGGAACGTTGTCTACTAATATATTTTTCCTTGTCAGTAATGCCGTTCTGTGTGGAGTGTACACGTACATGGGGTGTCTGTTGTGAATGATCCATGTGCTTCTACATGCGCTAGAGTACTGCTACCTTACAAGCAAGAGGATAATAAATTATTATAACCCCGGGGATTATACTCTTTTTACAAGGCCACTACCGGGGGGGGGATAACAGGCATAGGCAGTGACCTTGTACGGTGGCAGTGCCCTAGTATAGTGTACGTATCGTGCACAGGGATTTAATACATTTAAATTATAGTATAAAAACCTCCAGTCATTTTCGTGTTCTAAAAAGCAGTTAATATTTCTGGTAATCACTCATATAAAAGACCTGGTGCTATAAAAAACCTGTATAAAAAACCTGGTGCTGTAAAAAACCTGTATAAAAAACCTGGTGCTGTAAAAAACCTGGTGCTATAAAAACCACTTTTTAGGAAAATGACTGGAGGTTTTTATACTATAATTTAAATAGAATATAAGCTTCGCCCTCGTGTTTACGGGGAAAAAAAACCTCGGCTTCGCCTCGGGTTTTTATTTCCCGTAAACACTCGGGACTCAGCTTATATTCTATACTTAAATCCCGTGTGGGATGTATACTGGCTCATACTAGACGAGCGCTGATTGGCTGGAAACAGGCGCACCGCACCATGGTATAAACGTGGAACATAAGCTGAACACAAAATGAGGCGAAGCCGAGGTTTGTGTGATACTGTAAGAGTTGAAACAGAAAGTGTGACGAGCTCTGAATGATTTGCAAACAAAATTCCCACTTCAACTAGTAGCGGGCACAAAGTTTACCAGCCCTACCATGCATCACACATAATTATGTCTTCTATTTCTCTCAGAGGAGTGAAGGAATAACATACGGTGTAACGCTTCTTGAGTCAGGGCCTAGGAGTCGTCCGTAATTATCGAAGACTGATTAAAAAATCCGTCCTCGTGCAAAATTTTATCAGATCCCCCCCGTTTTTCCCCCAATTTTTTCCCCTGGTATTAGCGATACTCGTACCTATCTTAAAACAAAAAAATGTGACACATGACTGCACCCTTATAAACAGCCTTGTCAAGTACCAATCGTATTCGACGGAAATGTTTGGGATTTGTACCGATAATTCGAAGTTTGCAAAGCTGTACATTACTTTGTAGTACAGAGTACGTACACATGCACACGTTACACAAGGGAATGGTCTCAAACTGCGGAGAGTGCTCAATGCAAGCGAGGCAGAGCTTCATCACACACAAGCGGAAAAACCGTCAGAGATCAAATTCCATTACACAGTGTTTCACCGTTCAAGCAACGGATCATCAGATGGATGATCAAACAAAGTATGATACACTGGTTATATAATTATATGGAGTGTGAAGATTATCATTATGTCATTATGCACACGTTATAATATAATGTGTTGTGGGCACATGTTTGGATGTGAAAATGTCCGGATAATTAGAAGTCTTTCACTGCATGTTGCCATTGTTGGCATTATTGCAGTATTGGGGGTTCGGAAATCGGGAGAAAAGAGTGCTGGTGAGAACAAACTGCAAATGAGAGTCCTCCGCCGCTCCGGCTCGGTAGAGGGATCCAGGGCCATGCATATGCGCAAGAGTTCATAACCCCCAGGTGGGGGTTATGAACTCTTGATATGCGCATGTGATGGCAACCTGCGCTGCGCCAGCTGCAACCATGGCCTCCCTGGCTGCAACAGAGTCTGTACTCTGTATATGTAGTCTCTGTACTGTGCAAGTCACGTGCAAACCAGGCTACATGAGGGGGGGGGGGTATCATGCACCTCGTCGTAGATCTTGACACGACTGTATCAAGTGTATGTAGCTCTCCAGAATTGCAAAAATAATAAACGAGCAAACAAAGAATAGGCTAGTACTAAAAAGTCTATTAGTAGCTTGACTTGCAAGTAGCGTTACTTATAATAGTTGTGGTTTAGATTTAGACTTACAGTGCCTATTGTAGAGATGTAGTATTCCCTTGTTCGTTGACATTTAGCATAGAATATATTATAGACATTACTGGATGCGTATGCACGAGAATTACCGTAGAATATTTACCGTAGAATCGGTGGGCAGTGGATTTATATAAAAGGAAATGAATTCTGAACTGTATTCAACGAAGTCTGCGTGCTTAGCAGTTGGAGTATTTGCGACAATTCTCTACCTGAATACGATTGGGCTGGGATTTTGTTTTGACGATGATCCAGCTATTGTCCGGAACAAGGACTTGCGTTCCTCCACGCCATGGACAACTCTTCTCCAGAATGATTTCTGGGGCACTCCAATGTGGAAGGAGGGCAGCCACAAGTCGTACAGACCTTTGACAGTGCTGACCTTTCGCCTTAATTATGCTATTCACCAGCTGAGCAGCAGCGGATATCATTTGGTTAATGCCATTATTCATGGCCTGGCATCAGCACTGTTTGTAACATTCTCAGACGTCACGTTCGAAAAGACCTCGACAAGTTTGATGGCCGGTCTTGTGTTTGCAGCACACCCCATTCACACAGAAGCAGTAAGATTTAGGTGTTTGTAACTGTATGTGCATGAATTACTGAGTTCATGTCGGCTATACTGTATACTGCGTGGACCAGAGAAGAAGAAAGAGAGAGAGCGGGGGGGGGGGGGGGGGGGGGGGGCATGCTGACATGCATATACAGTCAGTATCGCCTATAGCTTTGGTGTTTGATTTTGAGCATTTTATCACTATTATCGATATAATTATTACTATGACCAATACTGGATGCAATGTATGCGAGTGGGGTGTCAAATGACTCAGGGCGCCATGCACATACACACTTCATAGCTGGCTACAGCTCCTGACACACAACATCAGCATTTCCTCACGATGGAGGCATATTTGGCAACTTGTACAAGCAGAACTCACCAAACAACACTGGACAAGTTCTTCATGAAGAAGTAACACCCTGTTCTCCTCCGACACCACTTGATTTTACATCAATCACTATAACCGATGCGAAAATAATGTAATAAAGGTCTTTTGAAATATGAATTTGATCACTATAGACGATATAATTACTATAGGAGATTATTACTATACGCGATGACTGTGTATACTTAGTCATGGCAAATGAAAACGAATTTGAGAAATTGATCACTAGCCGCCAACGTTATAGGCGATACTGACTGTACAGTAATAATAAAGCCCCTCATCCCGGCATGTATGCATATACACACCGATTGCATGCCACGACTTATTGTGTCAGTCGCTATTACTTTTCTTGAAAGGACCATAATATTACTTGGCTTTCCATCCGATATTTCTTGGGTAGTTTTCATACAGGCCAACCCTCCCGGTTTTCCCAGGAAAATCACGGTAAATCAACATTACTCCCTGGATCTCGGGGATTTCAAGCAAACTCCCGGGAAAGTCACATTTTTGTCTGATCAAGGTTTTTCCTAAAAACTCTAGGGGCGTGCCTTCAATGTCCTGGTTTTTTCAAAAAATGTACGGTACACACTCGCAATTCGAACTGTACACAGCACTTTCAAGACTAGCTTAACCTAACCTGCGCGATCTGCACCGATAGGTGCGCGCTGACTGATCGAACTGCACTGCAGGGTCGAACTGTGCTGTACACAAAGTACACTAGTTCTGTGCCGTCGAACGTTTTTTTGGCAGGGAAGCTCTTTTTCACGTGTTTTGGTGCCATCCAGGGATTTTGAGAGAAACCCAGGGATTCTGCATGTCTTGTCAAGGGACATGGGGATTGAGATTTTTCTGGTTGGTCACAATGGTCAGTATGAGTTTTTCGTTGAAAAGTCAATTTTTTGTTAGTTCAGAACGATCAGAAAGGCACTCAGTGGATAATGGGAGTTTTACTACCGTACCGTACTTGCCCACATATAAGCGCATGGGCTTATAAGTGAAAAATTGCTACAAAAAAAGTTTTTTTGCTGTGTGAACATGTTCGGGTAGAAGCCCATGCGCTTATATTGGCTCTCCCTTCCGTATAACCTACGCACTGCGACTTCTATCTCAGGTTTTAAGAATGCATTGCGTGATGAGAATGCATTGCGTGATGTGAAATAGGCTGACCACTGTCTTGCTGTAGTCAACTGTCATCTCTCTTTTTTTCTTTTTTTTCTTCTGATTTCCCCATGGTTGGTTTGCCACCCTCACTTCCTTGTACTGGCCATGTTATGTGACATGAAGTGATGAAATAATTATAATAATAATGATATGTGCAATAAAGGTTTGTCTGTGTCCTAAGCAACGGTGCTATCACAATGCTTAGCAGTATATTCAGCTCCCGGGTGTTTCACCAATAGTGTTCACATATAAGCGCATGCGCTTATAATCGGGGGGTGCGCTTATGTCTGGACATAAGCACATGCGCTTATATGTGCGGAAGTACAGTATAATGATACAGGCTTTTTTTTAATGTGTGGAGACAATGTATAGACATGTACAGCGCACCATAGCCGTAGATGTACTTGTACTACACTTTAGTACTAGTAGTTGAGAGTTGGCCCTTCTCAGGGTATCAGAATAACAACCACATTAATGCATACTCTACGTAAGTGCTGGCCTCAAATAGAATGGTGTCTATTCCAGTTGTGGAAGCCAATGGTCTTAACCGAACATATCCGACAGATCCTCAATCCTTTGTCCTGTGTGTGTGTGTGTGTGTGTGTGTGTGTGTGTGTGTGTGTGTGTGTGTGTCAAATGTGTAGGTTGCTGGTCTTGTCGGTCGAGCAGAAGGTCTCTGTGCTATCTTCTTCATGCTTGCATTTTTGGCATACGTCAAGGCTGTGAAGAAGAACTCAACAGGTACATGTATGTGAAGTTGTTACCGTACATGATCGAATACAAACCCCCCTTCGAATAGAGCCCATGTGTCAGAGGGAATCGGAATAATAAAGCCCCGTCTCGTACAAAAGCCCGGGGCTATAATCGAGTGTGCAATGTCCGTACCATGCAGTGCAGTTACGGATACTTCACCATACAACGATCGAGTTAGTCACTGCATGTACTGATCAACATGAATAGTGTGAAACAATTGATGTTTCTATTAAAAAATAAAGCCCCCTCTCGAATAAAATTCTCTCTCAAATATACCCCCCCCCCCCCCTCGATGTGTCTTCTGGAAAAATAGAGCCCCGGGGCTTCTATTCGCGCCTATACGGTAACTGACTACTCAAGATCTGTTCTGCGAAGCTGAGATATTGGCATTCAAAGCATTTCAAACTAAAAAAAGAGCGTGCCAAAAGTTTCAGTGTTGGCAAAACTTGACAGTCGTTATCATGAGATCACTTACTTTCTGGAGAGGTTGTGTGTGTGTGTGTGGGGGGGGGGGGGGGGCATTGGGTCATGGGGTGCTAGTTTTGTGAAGAGATTGCAGGCTGACTATCTGAGTTGGTAGTTGTGGCTTTCTTTCTGACTCTGTGTGTGCGCGTGTGTGTGAGTGTGTGCGTGGGTGAGTGTGTGCGTGTGTGCGTGGTTGCGTGCTTGCGAGTGTGTGTATGTGTGTGTGTGTGTGTGTGTGTGTGTGTGTGTGTGTGTGTGTGTGTGTGTGTGTGTGTGTGTGTGTGTGCGTGTGTGCGTGCGTGTGTGTGTGTGTGTTTCTGAGTATATATATAATTATATGTGTGTGTGTGTGTGTGTGTGTGTGTGTGTGTGTGTGTGTGTGTGTATGTGTGTGTGGTGTGTGCGCTGTTTAGATTGGAAGTTGTTTCTGCTATGCATACTGTTCACCATCCTGTCCGTGCTCTGCAAAGAGCTTGGAGTGACTGTCATCGGTGTCTGTTTGGCGTATGACCTTCTGGCTCTGCAACAAGTAAGTGTTGTGTGTTACAGTAGTGGTCTACAAGTACAACTATGCATACACTGTGTACCACAATCTCCCAGGCAGCAGCGTACACCAAACAACTGTGTTTCTGAATGTCAAGAGCTAGTTCCAACAAAAAGAAGGGGATGAAACATGTGTTGTTACTAGGGCTCAAACAGTTAGTTCGATTAACCGGTTTAGGACCGGTTTTGAAAAGATAACATTTAACCGTTTATGTAAAGGTTACGCTGGTACTTTTTCGATTTTTCGAAGTGCACATTTTTACCGAGTATTGGCAGTTTTACAACCTATCGCGTACGTACACATGCATAAATGTTCCCTACTTAGCATCATCGGTGACAATTTCAATTAACTTCATGCCATCTTAGTGCTTCTGGTCTGTGAATATGCGTGAATGAGCATGCAAACATGTGCATGTATTTCCGCACGGTCCATTTTTTGAACAAGTATATTGAACTATATTGTTCAAACTAGCTACTTGCTGCCTGCCGCAGCATACTGTAAAAGCAGAAATTTTCGGTGGTGTTTTATTTTCGGTGGCTTCGGTGCCAACAATTTTTACCGAAAATAAAACGCACCGAAAAGTTTCAGTACTACTGAGTAGTACTACAGTCCATTTCAAAACTATAGACGCGTACCTAGGCAAAAACCGTTATGCCAGCATCTATACCACATAAAATCTGTGATCACTGTGCATAATTTTTTCCAAATTGGGCGTCTGTTATCCAATCGTTTAGAAACTATATGAGAGTAATTGTGGAGCGGACCTGAGCAATATTCCGAAAACTATTCTCAAAAAGTTCCAGCCAAATTTGAAATATTTCAAAAACACTGCGCGTCTATAGTTTTGAAATGGACTGTAGTACACTTACCTGGAAAACGGGTTTTACCGAAAATTTCCCTCCACCGAACCGCCGATTTTGGAGAATACTGAAAATATTACACCACCGAAAATTTCTGCTTTTACAGTAGGTTATGGCGGATAAACCGACCGTTAGCGTAGCAGTTAACCGTTGAGGTGAAAACCACAACCGTTTGAGCCCTAGAACTTGTTACTCTGAGGTTCATGCGCTTAGCGCATGAACCTCAGAGTAACAACACATGTTTCATCCTCTCTTCTTCTTGTGTGTATACTGTGTAGGTTCTATGTTTCTAAGTGTCTCTGCTGTACACGATTGGCTGTTTGCACCGCTACCCCCATGGTGTGTGTTCAATGTCCTGTTTGTTTTTGCATGCACAGGCATCTTTGCCCGTATTGATACAGCTGGCGCAATCTGGACAGCTATGGAAAAGGCTCCGTGCATTCTCAGCACGACTTGCTGTGATACTAGCAGCAGCGATGGGCATCATGGCACTGCGCCTTCACATTATGAAGAACATTCCTACTTTCCTGCCGTACGTTATTTTCCCGTCTTTCCGATGCTGTACAGTACAATACTGTTCTATAAAATTTGGTTGTGTGAGTCGACTGGCACCGGGCACTGTGCAGCCGAGACCACATTTCATTGCGCTTGTGTGCGTGCGTGCGTGCGTGCGCGCATGCATGCATGCGTGTGTGTGTGTGTGTGTGTGTGTGTGTGTGTGTGTGTGTGTGTGTGTGTGTGTGCGCGTGCGTGCGTGTGTGTGCGTGTGTGTGTGTGAGGGGATGCGTGTGTGTCCCATATAGTGCAGTGGTATGTGCAGTCGATTTCCAATCGAGAGGTTGCGGGTTCAATTCCCGACAATTATGGTCGCACACGTCTTTCTTCTCTTTCTCGGACTCTTCCTGACTTCTTTCATTCTCCTGGGTGGTTACCAACAGCCAGTGTATGCCGGAGTATGTGGTGTGGTGTGTGTGTAGAAAAAAATGGAAAAATGAAAAATAGGGATTCACTGGCCAGAAAAAGTCACTTCAAACAGCTGTGTGGTGGATATCAGGCTAAAAATAGTGGCGGTCAATTCATCAGCCTTGCAAGCTGTTGAATGGTGTAATCCCAGCACAAGTTGCTATGTCTAACATAGCTGTTCGCTATCATCGCTTCCGCGATGGGCATGTCTGAGGTCTGAGGGGATGGGGGTACATGTGTTGATAAGTGTTCTGAGTCTTCTGACTAGTGCTCAGTCTTCAAGTCCTACATCTAGAGGCTTACAGTTTTCTGTTTTATAAAGGGACAACCCACTTAAACAATGAGTGCGGATTCATCACTACCTACCATCATCCTTTAACCCTTTAGGGCCCACAATTATTTCAAAGAATGCACTGCATACGCTAGCCCAGGTACTTATCTGGTCGTTACTTTGGTGTCCTTTGGCCGATTTTGGTGATCTTGGGCTTTCTGGAAAGCTCTTGGCCAGAGGAACACAGCGATGCCCAGACCTCGATCAAGGGATCCACAGAACCAGCGCCGCAGCGCGATTCGGCGCTCCAAAGCCAGCATTGCGAGCGCCCAACTCAAATTCTCTGCCATTTCAACAAAATGTATCGCAGATCGCTCAAATTTTTTACGTGAGAGCTGAGAAACATGCCTTTGCGATGACGTGAACTATCTGTGGCTGTGTGGGTCGCGAGTCAGGGAAAACCCCCAAAAACGAGTTCAAAATGCACGCGCCCGAGGTGACTCTGCTGAGCGAATTTAGTTCGAGTCTCATAACTCCGCTCTCCGACTTCGGATCGCTTTCGGGTGTTTTCGAGCCGATAGCTGAGACAATTTTAATGTCGATAGATCTTTCTATGGTCCGATTTGGTCAAGGGACGGCCGAGTTACGCCAGGTTG